AATGCTTGTTAATTACAACACAATATTTATTGTTAGTAATTATGATTTTATAAAATATGAAATTATTTCAAGCATTATAATGTTGTACAACATATTTAAAACAATTAAAAAAATATTTTATACTGGTAAAGTACATGTTGGACTAAAAGAATGCATATTTAGTTATTAAGTCCAATGTAACATATTACAGAATTATATAACATTTTGAAAAACCAAAATAATAACAAGTCTTATTTATTTATTTATACTAATGATAAGCCAAATCATCAAGTAAATTTTCTTTATATACAATTTGTATTAATTGCAATTTTCTTCATTTTGGATCTTGATTTTCTGGTTGCTGTTTGAACACTACCTGAACACTCATAAAAAAACTCAATTAAAAACATTATGTCTATCTTAAACAATGTATTAATTTTGTTAAAAATAAAATAGATGAAGATTAGAAAATTTAATAACAAGCTATAATATAATGAATGAAATTTATAATAAGACTAAAAGAATATCTAAACTTAAAAAAAGAATAATCAAAAGTTTACAATTTACTAAAACTATTTTATAAGATCTTTTTGAAAGATTGAAGCTTAAAGGTAAAAAATTTTCTATATTTGAATCAGTGACAAAGTAAGAAATTAAACATTTGTAGAAGTCTGTACTTGAAGTAAATGATTTATTAATATTTGAAAACATGTCTAAAAAGCATATTAAAAATAAAGTAATGTTAATTTTAATTTACAAAAAAAAAATTAATATTGTTATAAGCTTATAAATATATATATATATTTATTTCTATATTCTTGAATTCAAAACTATTGTTGCTAGTCTAGAATTTGTTTTTTTTAAAATTAAAAAATATCAAGTAACTAAAACTGGTTGTATAATTTGCAAATCACTATAAAGTAAATCTGATGTATTTATAAAATTATAACTTTTTCCAAATCCTACCTAAAGCAAATGAAGATCATTATATACTATTTTGTAAAATATATGATAAAGATATTAGTAAAAAAAATATTACCCATCTTTATATCAAAAAGTCAATGTATCTACATTATTAACTACTATGATGATTAATAGATTTGATATAAATAATATGAGTTTTAACTTTCAAATACAATATATACCAAATATGCATATTTTGATCAAGTGTATTGAATATAACAAATTATGAATATTTTATTTATAATATTATTTAAACCCAAAAGAAGAAAATATTCTCAAAAACTTTATAGAAACAATTGATTATATATGTGATATAACATTTTATAGAATTTCAGATCTTACAAAAACTAGTTCACTGTCAATTTTAAATAACAATAATTAGGCAATGAATATTGTTATAAATAATAACAATGACAATAATTAAACAATAGATATTGTTACAAATAATAAAAGTAACAATGATACTGATAGTATAAAAGACAATATTGATAAATTACCTATGAAACAAAATGTGAATAATGATAATTTATCTTTAAAGACATTGTTTAAATATGTATTTGTAAATGTCAAGCTTACTTGCTTAACATTTATAGTAGTTCTATATTTTTTTTCTTGTCTTTACTCAGATATTTGTTTTCAATATAACAATGCAGAAATCTTTTTATCAACTCCTATTAGTCAACAGCTATATTGTTCTGAATGCCATATTTCAGTCAAAACTAAAAAAAGAAAAGGAAAGAGTCTTAAATTTAAGGAAAAAAAAAACAAGCAGTAAAAAGAATTTCAGTATAAACAGAGAAATGTTTTTAGAAATAAGTAATAGATGACAAATTATAATAAATATGTGCTGGAAGTCTATACTTAATAGTTACACAAGGTGTTTCAATTTTTAAATAGCTATAACTTTTTATTTAAAAGGTTTTAAAAAAATCTGACCAGTAACTTTGTAGAGCTGATATAGCTCTATAAAGTTACCAGTCAGAGTTTTTTAAAACCTTTTAGATAAAAAGTTATAACTATTTAAAAAATTGAAACACCTTGTGTAACTGTTGAGTATAGACTTCCAGCACCATAGCTCTTTTAACGATACTAAGTGTAACTCAACTGGATGTCAAATCAACACATATTATTCCAATACCATGAAAATAATGCTGTAATGGTTCACAACCAACAACTCTTAATACTCTAATCATTCTAATAATGATTCGTTAAAAAGAATGTAATGAAAATCTGCACAAAATGAGCCTGAGAAAGCACATGCAAAAGCTTTATAAAATATAATTGTTTTATACATTAATTCAATTGTCACGGAAACAAGATAAAAGTTACTCTTATATTTCTTAATCTTACGCCTTATGCTATAAGATCTGAGGTATCTTGTAGTCATAATCTAAGTAGCAGCAATATTGTGCGCAACTTAAAGCCAGCGCTATTATAATCCACAATGAAATATAAACCCCTATTATAGAAAGTAAAATACAAATTTTATGACCTTAAAAATTCTATGTTGCAATGTTAAATCTTTGTTCCTGTATTTTAGGTAAAGAGTATGGAATTAGTGTAATCAGAATAAAGGAAAAATAATAAAGCATTTCTTTATTCCTCTAATTTCTTGCTTTACCTTTTGGCTTGGATCGTACCTTGAACTAGGGTGTCTAGGATTATGCGAAAGCATAATATGCACATAATTTACCAATTTTTTCGCGATGTGCTTGCATAAATCACGGAAATGAAATGTAATTGGTTGTTGAGAGTACGTCGAAAAATTCTGAATGATACAGAACAAATTAACCAATTACATATGATTGTTGCCAAGGGAAAACCCTGTCATCAGGCTTACGAATTATATTTGGTACCAGACTCAATCTAATTTGTTACGATGCAAAATATAACTGAAAGCCCGATGACAGGTTTTCTCTTCACTAGTCGAAATTAAAAAATTCGACATGTCGAATGGCACAATTCGAATGCCATTCGACATTGAAAATTTTAATTTCGACTAGTGATTGGCGACACTCATATAGTAAAAAATCGCATAATTTTAAATTTATTTCGCATCGCATCGCATAATCCTAGACCCTACCTTGAATATTTAATTAATCGTGTGACTTAATCCTGTGATTATTTAAATCATATATATTACTATAAAAAAAAATTTTCAATTTTATAAAAAAAGGACCCGGCCGGGTAATGAGAACCAATTTTATTTGTTTGTGCGGCCTTATAACTATATTAAGAGTAACTATAACGAGGTATGATTGTAATTCTTCTTATATTTATTGTATATTTACTTAAAAAGTAAAATAATAATATAAAGCATCTAATAATATGTAATGCATATAATAAATATTCAAATTTTTTTTACTTATTAGAATAGATTACTTTAAAATTGGGTTTAATTTTCAAACTTGATTCTTAAAACAATTCCTATTCCCTACCCGGGTAGCCTTTTTTTTTTTTTTTTATCAGGTACGATCAATATTCTGCAATGTTAACAAATAAGAAAATATTTAGATAAAGTATTAACAATATAGTATCTTAATCATAGCGTTACTGGCACTAATATTTCTAAAATCAGTGTTATACGTATGTATGATAAATAAAAACTATCTTTAGAAAATTTGGTATACTAATCGGCTAAAAAAGAGGGTTTAAATAAATATCACATGAACGATGCTTTTGTTTGGCGGACAATTCCTAGTGGCAGCAGAGTTTGGTAATGAACTTACAGTGTAAATAACTGTGTAAAGGTTATATTATGATAAATTTTTTCTAAGTATTTGAAAAAAAATTCCGTGGCACAATCAATATTTGATGAATTATGATGTAATTTGATTCTGCTACATTAGATAATTGATAACTGATAAAATGAATAATTCGTACGTACATCTGTTTTACCCTACCTGTTTGCTATATACCAAATTAATACATACAAATAAGATTATTCACTAACGCTAAAAAAAAAACCAAATAGAAAAATGTATTAACGAATCGAATCAAGAAGCTTTGTTCGTGCGCATGGTAAACAATATAACGCATTTATTGGTATGATGACTTTTTCAAAAAGAATTTTAAAATTGCGTTAGTATATTTTATATTTTTCGAACTTATCAACATCAACCCACAAATTTACTAAATTACCAAAACTAAAACAATATTGCATAATCACGATATTTATAGTGGCTTGGCGCGGCGATTACCATGAGGCTTAGTAAATATTTATGATCGATCATATATGAGCCACAGGATGAATCCAAAGAAACAATGATTACCTTTGTACGTTATATATAGATATTTTAGGATGTTAATCAGTTCCAGCCTTCACAAAAATAATAAGATGGAATTCTCTCTGGCCATAAATGCCATAAATGTACGCCCTGTTCTTTGTACTCTGTTTCATTGTTTGTGAATTAAGAACTATCCGACAAATTTTTTGGTAATTGTATAAAAAATTAGCGCCAAGAAAATAAGCAGGTAGTCAATCATGAACGTATATAAATCGGTGACTACAAAAATGAATATAGTCACACTCTAATCATTCTGGCAGAGAATTTTGACTTTACACACTTTTAAACAGGTACGCATGTGCGTAGGTAGGTACGTGTACACTTATATGATTACAATGGTTGTCTTTAACTTCTTAATTTCTTTCTTGTAGAACCTATTCATTACGATAATTAAGCTAAAAGTGAGTTTATTTACTCATTATGGATGGATTATTTATTGTTGTATCACCTAACGTATGTACGGATTTAAACATCGGCTGACACTTATTCTCTCCTGCAAACATTCAATGATATCATAACTTTGTGATATATATATACATAAATTGCCAAATAAATAGTTTTAGTCCTACACCATCTTAATTTTTTCTTTTACGTAGCCCTAAGATATAAAATCTGACGTTCTGATTTTTTATGATATCGACCGGCTAAAAGGTAATTGCGGTTCTGTAATGAATAATCAAAATTTTTTTTTAATACATTTATTAATTTATTATATATATTTTTTAAATATCAGATATAGATCTTAATTCATTATATTCTATGGTTTAGAAAATGTTATCACTCAAACTATTTATTTTAATATGTTTAATACTTTTGGGAAGCTCGACCGTTCTTGGTCAGAATAATAATAATAATAATACTTGTGGTAATGGCTTAAATGATCCTTGCGTCGTAGCTAATAAAACATTAGGCAATTGTGGCGGGACACTTACGATACCGAAAAGCGTCCCAAATAATACTTCTGCCATTGTGTCAGTAACTGGTTAGTACAGGATTTTGTTTATTTTTGTTTTGTAAATAATAATTCAATAAATAATTTATCGATAATTTATCGATTATTTACTTGTTTTCAAGACCAAAGACTAGCACGTTGTCAGTGTAATACGCAATATTATCAAAATCTTACAAGATGCTTAGATTGTTATCGTGTTAATAACATTGGGAACATTTCTGTCGCTAACGTGAATGATTATAAATCTGCATGTACTTCATTGGGTGTTCCGTTCACTGATTCTAGGTTTGGTTGGAAATTTTCTTTATTCCATTATTTATGTCCTCAAAATTTTCATTAATTAAAAACTTTTTTTTTTATAGTGCTGTACAACCAGATCCAACTGCAGGTGCTGCGAAAAGAGTTCTTATCGGTGTGATTGTAGGTTTGGTTGGTTTGATGCTAATAGGTGTGGGTGGTTGGTTATATTGGCGTAAAAGCAAGAGTCACCCGAAATTAGATAGTGAACCTCCTCCTGATCTGGATCATCATCAATATGACCCTCCTGCGCCTATTTCTCCGACTGATGCAAATACCGAAGTAGTTCAACCTACTTTGCCCACTATACCTCCATATGGTAGTAGTCAACCTGAACAATACTTTGGTGGTGGTGTACCCCCTTCTCCTCCCCCTGATCGATACGGTCAATACGGCCAATACTATTCAAATCAACCATCTCCTCCACCAGGACAACAAGGCTTATATGGAGGCGCTCCTCCAGGAACTTCTTCTCCTCCACAAAGTCAACATCCATCATATTATAGTGTTAGTAGTTCTCAACCAATCTTATCTCCATCTTCGGGTGATGATGCGACAGGTCGTTACTCACAACAATATTCTTCTGGACAATTTGGTGGAATACCTGAACAGGAACAAACTAGTATGCCATTACCACTACCAACTCCAGTTGGTTATCAACAACATGGTTATCCAATTCAATATCAGCAAGGTTATCCACCATCTCAACAAGGTTATCCTTCACAAGGTTTTCCTCCACATGGACATGGTTATCCTCCACAAGGTTATCCATCACAAGGTTATCCATCACAAGGTTATCCGCCACAAGGTTACCCACAAGGTTATCCTCCACAAGGTAACCCTCAAGGTTACCCATTACAACGTGATTCACAAGGTTACCCTCTACAACGTGATTCACAAAATTACCCTCCTTCACAAGGTGATTCACAAGGTCAAAACCCTTCTGGCAATTAATAAAAATTTTCCTGTAAAATTTTTTAAGTTTGAAAGTAAATAGAAAATAATTAACTTGTATTTGAAAAAAAAAATTGTATTATTACGTGTTACTCTTTATGTTAATAAGTATTATTATACTGTTTGTGTTATGAAGAAAGTAATTTTTTGAGTACATAATTTACATAATTAAAAATATATATATATTTATTAAAAAGCATGTATTTTTTCAAAATTGTTAATACGTTTTAAATTTTCATATATAACGCACAATGGTTGATCGTGATAAAATGTAATTTTGATAAAACTATATTTTTATGACAATAACGATATCATAAAGTATTAATGATAATAAAAATATTCTTTTCTTTCGTTGATAACCTGTATATAGTTGTGTTTAATAAATATAGAGAATTAAAATGAAATCAGATTAAAACAAATTAATTAAAAGTTTACGCGTCGTAGTAAAGCATTTTTTTAGGCATTTTATTTTAGAATTTTAATACTATTTGTCAAATTAAGCTAAAATTTGATTACCAAGTTAAATTTAGTAACTATCGATCAATGCTAAACCCCAAGAGAATTTTTTTGATCTCTGGTCTATGCTGATAGTGCTTCTAACCCATCTTCCTCGTTATCTAAGCCATTTTGACGCACCTTAATTGACAGGCATTTATGTATAATGATGTACCTTCCTATCAAGATCAGCATTACATATTAGTAGTCAAATTTAAAATTCCATTGTATTAAGTACCACCCATAAAAAAAAAATTACCGCTGACGTCTTTTGTAAATATAAGAGGATTTTATTTGTACCCGGTGGGCAGTGTTTGCACTGGACATATGTCCACCTATTATTAATGCTACTGGACTGAATATGGACATTTAACATATACTTGGACATAGTTCAGTCATTTGCTGATTTTTTTTTTTAAAAAAAATTTAAAACTAGCTGTAAATTAAAACATATTATAGTGCGATTAAAATATCATTATACAAGAGTAGGGATGTCAACGGTCGGTCATGACCGATGGGTAATCTAAAATTTTAATATCCTGTATTATTTAATTAATGTTAGTTAATTTAAGTTAAAGCTTTTTTAATGCGGAATAAAATTTTATTTAAAATATAATCTGTAATAATATAATATATAGTTAATAATGTAATATATATTTTATTATAAAATAAATTTAATTTAATAATAGCGATAGAGATAAATATAAATTTAGACTTATAGTCTAAAAAAACCCCATTGGAAAAAAAACCTTAAATAAATATCATTATACTGTACACATGAAAGTACATAGTACGTGTACAAACACAAGTGCAATAGGTTATCACACATATAAGGTGTGAAAAATGGCAGACAACACATAACAATATGTGCCGAACAGAGTCACGCGGACCAATCAAATGCAGAGAATTGTACAGACACATTTAACTTGCCTGTAAACTATACACTACGTACTTTGTACTCTGTTCATGGTATATATTAGCATTAGGGATGTGATCGTCCCTGGCCGAAACTCGAACCAGTTAAAGTTGAGTTTTTTTATTGCGTGATTTTAATTATATAAAATGAAATTCATTGTGCTTGGATCAAGTTCGGAACTGATCTTATGAGTGAAAGTTTAAATATTGACTTTTAATTAAATGATATAATGTTATTAAAAAAACAATAAAAATTTGGATCAAGTAAATATGATGTTTTTTGTTTATTAAAAGTTAATTTTGATGTTTGTAATTAAAAGATAAAAAAAATAATTGTGTAATAGAATGTTCTCAAATACTAAAAATGCTTCATTTTTTTATTATTTATTTTTTTCATTATTTTTATATAATAGATAAAGACAAAATATTTGAAGAACCTTATATGATAGATGAAGACAATATATTTGAACAACCTAATATAACAGAATTTAGCTTTACATCAATTTTAACAATACTTCAGAATATATTTGAATTAGAAGCACTTATAGAAATAATAAACTTAATAAACTGGTCCTTCAGATAATTGAAACATGATTCTTTCTAGAATGAACTATTTGAAACCAATGATAATTAGCAGTACAAGCATTATAACAATATCTTTTTTTTGGATATGGGTCTTTCAACAATTAAAAAACATTTTAAACATAATTATCTAAATTAATAAAATGAATTAATGATAATTATCAATAAGACAAATAATAAATCATTTTATAGTAGAGATAATATATTTGAAATAAACTAATAGTTTTTTAAATAGATTATTATGAACTAATAATTATTTTCTCTAGTTGAAAAATAAATATTTTAACTATTTATTAATAAATTAATACTATAATATTTCTTCTTTCAAGAAAATTTATTATATAAATTATATTGTAATAAGCAAAATGAACTTTGTGATTTTTTTAATACAAATAAATAAAAATTTGCTATTATAATAGATGCATAAACTTTTTATACTAATCTTAGTTTATTTATTATTATACTTTATTAAATTGATAAAAATTGAACTATAAAACAGATTTTATTAGATATAATATTACTTTATTTTTTTTTTTTTTGGAGTTAAGGTGAGGTCATGCCTCAAGTCTGTTTATTCGAACATATTGTTACAGTTTGTA